GTCACGGAACGGACATTCGTCTTTCCAAAGACTCTAACCTAGCTTTTATAGCACTCAGTGCTTCTTGATAATCCTGTTGCTGTGTCTCCTCGCCTTGCAAGGAAGCAGCCGATAATGGGGGGCTGGAATGCGTGTGCTGTTCCACGAGCAAATATCGCGATGAACTCTCGTTATTTTCATTTTGGTTGGATGACGGATGACCATAACCCATATCACTGCTCGCGGTACTGATGTCGCTTAATCTTCTGTCTGCCTCGATGGGAGGACTGGGACTCATTCCAACCACGTTCACGTTATGACGCATACGTTCCTCAACCTTGGCTATTCTATTTTCTAATCTTACCAAATCTTTAACAACCTCTGTTTGCATTTCGCGAAAATGACCACGGACCAAACTTTCAATCATTGTCCCCGAAGCTTGAAGTGCCTGGAGCAGAGTGGTTGTCTTACGGATCTGTTCTTCGAGGGTGGATTTTAGAGAACGAGTATCGGCCACAGTGTCGTAAAGATTATCAAAGAGATGAATGAACGATTCCTTCGTCGGTTGTTCATTGGTAGGTAACATCGGACTAGCGCTGTTAGATGAACTAAACTGAACATTAACTTGAGGACTCGTCATTGGACTGCGGACTAAGTGAGTATCTTCAACATTGTGAGGCGAAATAAGACCGTTAATACTAGCACTGGTGGAAGCAGGATGCATTTTAGTCGCGGGCTTGAAGGCAGAGTTTGCGGAGAGAGGATATCCGGCAATACTATGTTTATTCGAAGTCGATCTAGCAACGGGGGCAGTCATTGGCAAGGGGCTGTGATTAGAGAGACCAGAACCAGGATTATAGGATCTAGAATGAACGTCGTTGTATGGTGGAGCATACACGCTAAGGTTTCTGGAGTTGCGATTCGCACGAGATATAGAATTTCGCTTGTTCGAATTCCATGCACATTGCGATGAACCAACATTATTATAACCAGCGACGGAATGTCTTCTGTCGACATAACCTTGTTGTTGTTGTTGTTGCTGTTGTTGTAACATCTGTTTTTGCGCCTGATGTTGCCGAGCTTCTATAATGGCTTTCTGTTGCTGCTTTAACTTAAGCGTGCTTCTAACTTGTTCCATGACTTCTGGATTACTGGTTGCTTTTATTTTGTTTGACCCAATTGGTGACACCGCCACTCTTCTTTTCTTACGTGATCTGGTATCGTCATTCGTAACCAAATCATTTTGTAAATCCGAAGGTGGTGAGTGAGGCGATCTAGGGGAACGATTTCCTCCGGAATAGACGGGGGATTGTTCTTGTTTGACCGTTGCGACTCCCCTGCGTAATGGACAATGGAGACCGGGTTACCACTAGAAATTATGTATGCGAGTGAAAATTTAATAAAACAAACTTACTTATCCGATCCAGTAGGCGAAACAATGCGTTCGTTAACTCTTGGAGAACACCGTCCGTCATCGGAAATGTCGTTGGAATGAAGTATTTCTTCAAAGGACATACGCTTCTTCCCATTGACCGGAGGTGGGCTTAAATGTGAGGTCTGCATAGGTGAACTCGAGTTATTTTGCGAACCAACACGTGAACCGTGATCAGAGGTAGTTGGAGGACACGGCGAATCGACAGAGAAAAATTCAAATTCTGCCTCAGCAGGAGCCATGCGAGACAATATCGTGATGTCACTTAACAATCGATCAGCCATTCCTGATATTATATCCTCTTTCCCGTACTTGCAGAATTCTGCGAGCAGGTGGTTTCCTAACCGGGTTGCAGTTTCACCTACAGCACGAGCTGATAAAAAGATATCTCCAGAACGTTCATAGAAACAATACCCGGGCGTTTCAAAGTAAATTTGAGGAATTTTTCCCGTCTTGAACATAAATTCCGTGTTTGACTCAAAAAATATTGTGTCAATATCTCTTAGTCGATAGAACGGAGAATGTATCATGGTTTTTGGATTCGTGTCTTGCTCGTTCTGTAGGGAGGCGACCAAGGGAAAGAGATATAGGCAAAATGGTTGCTGGTTGCCTTGACCATTGTAAACGCCAAGTTGAAGTCTTGTAACTTTCATGGTGTAAATTCTATTTAGAAAAGGAATGTAAAAATATAGTTGGAATTTGGCGTTAGAGAAGTCGGAAGGAGGTGAATGATTTAATGGATGAGCGTAGAAGGAAAATTCGAGAGAAATGTAGGTGGGAGGTGATTAAAAGACTTTGTCTAGCACAATAAAGCCACAGTTATAGGGTAACCAAATAGAAATGGTTTGAGAAGTTGATAAAAGAGTGGAAGGTTATGGCAAGTGCGAAGAAGGTCTTTTGAAGGGAAGGCAACCAGCTAATAAGGAGATGTTGTTTCAGTCTGCGAATTTGATGAAGATAAATCTTGGATGCTAATAGTAATTAGTACTACCAAATATGGGGCAACAAAGTTAACATAACGCCACAAAAATTTTGGTTTCGTTCATGTCCAATGCGTGTAGAATCGGGACGTTTGTTTGTTGCAATATTCACTAATCACGTTATCTCTTCCCTTTTTTGTCTCGTAGTCTGCATTAAGTAATTATTCTTTTTCAGTTCTACCAATTCGTCAAAGTTCTCGGTATATACTGAAAACTGAGTTGAAAGTTTCAACACCTGAAACCAAAGTAGAAACGAAGCAAATAACAAGACGATGAGAAAATTTGTCAATTTTCCTTGTGGCGTTACAGGTCGAGTTTTGCTCCGAGACACGTGTGTGCGTGGGTAAGATTCTTTGTCCGATTTAAGCAATCAAATTGTTCGATTATCTTGAAACAATCACATTTCCCAAAATGGGTTACTATTCTGTGTAGAAAAAAATACATTCGTAACCTCGGAATCATTTTTTAAGGTGTTTCAACATGAAACGGAATAATTTCGTACAAACTTTAAGTTAATAAAAGTAAACTGTATGACAAATAAATGATCTCGATTCTTATGTAATACAATAATTCCTTTCTTTAAAAAACACGAGATATAAAATTTTCTTCTAGAAAAACGAAATGTCTCTCTCAATAGATTTCTTTCTTCGCATTCTTAATCTTTCATTTTTTCACCCTTCTTTTGCGCTTTTATTTTTCTCTTTCATAAATTTTGTACAAGGTTATGGTGTCGAACACCCGGTGTTCTTGTGGAGTAGCATCTATACATTCACGGTATGCTTCTTCTGGCTTTTGGGTTATTTAAGCATAAAAAGTAGAAATGGGTGGAAATCAAATAAAATAAATTGGGACGAGGAGGTTGTAGTCATAACTGGAGGTTGGTCTTACTACCGTTTCATTTTTCTTATTTCCAAGATATCATTGATCTTAACTTTTCTTTGAAATGTAAAGGATCAAGTGGTTTGGGAAGCCTGTTAGCCGAAACAATGGCCATCAGAAACACTACCGTAGTCATATTAGATGTTAGACCTCCGGAGGTAGAACACGGCATGTGTGCATTATCTTGTTATTTTTTTTGAGGCCAATAAAATTCTAATTCGTTTCCTTCAATCCTTCAGTTAACATTACTTATTACGAGTGTGACGTGTCAAAATTCGAAAACGTGCAAAGTGTTGCCAGAAAGATCGTAGAAGATGTAATTATATAAATATAGTTATATTATCCAAGTGCTATCACGATTAACAACATTTGCTTACCCAGGTGGGTCATCCAACCATTCTCATCAACAATGCTGGCATCGTCAAAGGGAAAACCATTTTGGATGAATCCGAAGCTGAAATATTAGAGTGAGATAGTTTACTTTATCCAAGATAGACTTATATTGTCGTTGATAGAGATTTACGAGTGATCTTTTAAAGGACCATAAGTACAAACCTACTGTCGGTCTTCTGGACTACCAAAGTGTTCTTACCCGAGATGATCAAGACCAAATACGGTCATATAGTAAGCATATTTGCGCACCTGTTTGAAATATTGAAGTTTGTTGTAACTGTATTCTTTCTTTTGTTTGTTTCTTACATTTTTAACAATTAAAAGGTGAACATATCATCTGTTACCGGATTTTCTGGAATAGCTCAATTGGGTATGACGTCCATAATTCAAACATAAATGCATATTATTAATTTCGCTAATACATTCTCTTTATCTTAGCCGATTATAGTGCTAGTAAAGCAGCACTAATTTCTTTTCACGAATCTCTTCGACGCGAATTGGACACTCGGTAACATACTCACCTTTCATTCTACTTATCAATGAGCTGCAAGAAATTGATTTATTATGATGATGTAGGTATGACGCGAAAACTGTCCGTACAACCCTAGTCTGTCCGGGGGAAATGAAAACAGGAATGTTTGATGGTATCAAAATAAAATTTCCCTTCATTACACCTCCATTGGCGCCACTAGATGTGGTGAAACCTATAATAACTGCTCTAGATAAGGACCAAAGTCAAGATATTTTGACGCCTTACTATGTTAATCTTGCGCCAGCGTTAAGATTTCTTCCATCATTCGTTCAAGATCTGACTAATCAGGTTTTCTAATTTTT